GGTTACGGTTAGACCACCCCCCACCCCGGTACAAATCCTGTACACGCCCCTGCTGATATGTATACGTACCTCGGGTACATATCTGTAGTACCTGATACGACAACGACCCCTTCAGCGGCAATAACACAAGGGGGGAGAGATCAGGATGTGCCTGGCCTACCTGCATGGCACGGTGAAGAATTAAGATAAGAGATAAGAGAGAGTTTATTTCATCACTTTCAATATCAGCAAATACACGCGGGTAATGCCAGTCACCGTGAGTCAGTACCTAGCTGAAATGAATCATAGATACTACCAAGAGTAGATAATAACATGTTATATAATAACATGTTATAATACAATTATAACAATATATACAATATATAATACAACAAATTATATAATAATGTTATATTATCTACTCTTGATACTACCCCAAGGGTAGCCTATAAGCCCAAGGGTACCCTTGGCCTTGGGGTAGTATCTAATAATCTATGAATGAATGAATATGGGAAGAGCACGTGATCATTCAGGAGCACGTGACGGGGCCACAGTTACGTGGCCAGTGGCCTTGCAGGAGCACGACGAGCACAATGGTAGACTACAAATCCCTGGTTGCGTTCGTCACCGTCTTCATTCTATCGGACTATTTCGCGCCCGCCGCCCTCAGCACGATCCTGGGAAGACTGCTTGTTACGGGTGTAGTAACTGTAGTTATACCGTACGTTTTTTCGTCCCAACTTAGGAGCCAGGAGAAGGTCAGCGCAACTGGCAAGGCAGTGTTTATTACAGGTATATGTACTACTAATACTATATATATATATAATAATATAGGCCTACTACTTCTAGTACTACTACGTGTTCTACGTGGCGTATAGCTCTAGTACTATAGCCCGCTTACATTAACTGCCGCTGGCAGCGGCAGTTAATGTAAGTGGGCTATAGTAGAGCTACGGGCTATAGTACTAGAGCTATCCCACACTGCACTTCAAGTTCATATAGGCGGCCTGGTGATATACTCCGACCGGTATTTACAAAGAATCTTCTAGAACAGCTTATTATAGAAACGAGTTCATCGACTGGCCGGTTAGCTCAGCTGGTTAGAGCGTCGTGCTAATAACGCGAATGTCGCGGGTTCGATCCCCGTACTGGCCAAATTTTTCTATCATTTCCGTCATTTTTTAATTTCACATTTATCAGCTTTTTATGATCTTTTACTTTGGTTAAATTCGTTTCGATAAGTCTGTCTGGACTAAAACCTATTATGGCATGTATTACAGACAGTGGAGTAGACAGGTCCTCAGTTGTGGGGGGCATGATTTCACACGGAGGCCTCCAGCACTATACGATCTTTGGTCTAAACAGAGGAATTGCACCAATCTATGCTCCGACCTGTGATTGGAGGATAAAAATAGAATTTGTGACGTTTCGTTTCACCGGTCATAGCCGCGCGTGCCGGTGTATTAGCCTATATGAGCGATATCGCGCCTGCATTTTTGCTAATTAATTAGACTAATCGTGCTTCAATAGACTCAAAATTCACAGAGATTAAGGTTGAAATTGTAAGTGCAATATTTGTGAATGGGGTTACTTTTTTCTTTGGCTCCGAGAGGTTTAATAACACCAGAAGTAGATAATAGGGAAGCAGGCCCGTAGCCAGCTTTATATT